CAACGATAGATGCAGGCACGCCCCTCAAGTTCCTTCGCCTGAGCGTCCAGGCTCTGCCTTACGCCGGCCATTCCACTGTCTCCCGTTCTCACCCAATCATCAGTTATTGGAAATGAGGCGAATTGAAGGAACTTTGTCAGACCGTAGCAGAGCCGGTGGTAGGAGGTGATGATAAGGTTGCTGATCCGACGATACGGGACGTCAAATCGTCCGGCCATCCTGGGTCACTGTCCCACATCCGCTGACGGCCCGTTGCGGGGAGGGCTGGATCAGTTCAGACGGCAGCTTAGGTCGTCGAGGTACTACGGACTTTTACCTATAAATCTCAAGATGCGTAGACGGATAGTATGGCCAAACGTCTGACTCAGACGGATGGAACATGGAGGCTTGGGGAGCGGGAGGGTGAGCCTTGGTCCGCGGACCTTCAGCTGGAAGCCTTAAGCACTCAACATAATTGCGACACACCTATGCGAGTGGTGTGGCATTCAAGTGGGAGAATCTGACCCCTCTTTCTGCACACCATATCAGCTTAAGGTGCCTTCTTCCCAGTCCAGATTATGAAAAGTAGTCTCCAAGTCCTTTGGAAACAACAAAAGGAGACTCAAACAAGCCTGGGTTCTTCAGTGAACAATTTCAGGAAGATTGAGAAAGTCGAGATATTTCTGTGTTGGGCCTTCCCAATTCGAAAGCTCGCTACTTTCTTTTCACTCTTATTTACGACTAAATGACGCGATTGACCGTTGGGCGTCGGTTACTGTGCTACTTGTCCTGGCCCCGAAGATCTTCAGCCGCATATCATCTGGGACAGCCCTTCCCCTTCCCTATAGTACCGAAAAACCCACCAACTGTTGTCTGCCGAGCCTGCTGGCCTGCTTAAAACACTCATCCTTCCCTCCAGGAATCCATTCCAACATCTGTCTGATAGATGCGTGCATATACTTTTCCAAGCATTGGAACCTCCCCCCTCCCCCGGAAATTTGGCAGCGAAACCATCGGCTACGACAAACTCGCCATCACTTGCCTATCTTGCTGCTATCCATTCCAGGTGATGTAATCGATCGGCAAGAATTTCCAAGCCAGCCACAAGCTTGATCACCGGTGGCCTTCCCCTCAAACGTTCCCGAAAATGAGTCAAGATCACCAAGCAAAAATTGCTCGAGAATTCTTATGGGCCGTTGAGGAGTTTCGCAGAATTCGAGATCAAGAGACCAGAATTTCGACATGTGGGCAGAAATTTATTTTGGTAAAAAATGTCACCCAAAGGCTCACCCGCCCCTCTCCAAAATGCCCTCCAGAGTACAGTGACAGTCTCGACTGGTTAGGTCAGACCGCCTATCTTCGACATCGACTTCAACCGCCGATGATGAGAAGACAGCACTACGATAACTGTCAACCGGTATTCTACACGCTTCTCGACATAGATGCTCCAGAAATGATCCATTTGTTCAAAAGCAATGGGCTGCACAGACTCCCTATCGAGTTGGAGACACTTGAGAGATGCATCGAGCCGCCGCCAAATCGCGTTCGCTTCCATGCCGAGTTTTACGAGAAGCAATTCGCTTGGTGTCCGATTCAACTTGAACTGCATATGGCAACTTCATATCGCGAATGCGTCAGTCCCTTTTCTCGAAAGCGCAAGATCACAACCTCTCGAGATAGTAGAGGCTTCGCGGAGAACACAGCCACCCTATACGAGATCGACGTACTCGAAGAGCTTGTCGGAGAGCAGCTGCAGAGTTGCATGGGTTCGGCCAGAATTGACAGGAAAGACAGAGAAGAGAAAGAGAGGGTGCCAGTTGATAGCTTGAGTAAGGGTCATGTGAGTGTTTCTTATCCTTCCCCATTGGCCTTTTTCAACTAGTTTCAACCATTCGCTGACACAAAATCATATGTTATAGACTTATCGGTTTGCCCTGAAACAGTTCAAACCACAAAAGAAAACTCAGTTTGACAACGAGATCGAAATGTTCTCCAATCTGAGTGGAACGGAGGGGATGATTCGTTATATTGGATGGTTCTCCAATTACGAATCTGGTCCGGATGGGCGTCAAGAATACTTCAACATTGTTCTAGAGTTGGCCGACTCCGACTTCTACGATACCATCCTCGACGAAGCTCCTCCAATATCTTTCCAAGAGATCAACGGATTCTGGAGGTCCATGTCCGAAGTATCTAGAACGCTGGCATCACTCCATACCGTCGAAATCGATAGGCATGAGTACTCGGTGTAAGTTTACATGGAAGCCTCACTATTGCAAATTAACTAAGCCGATTTAGATGGCACGGAGATATCAAGCCCGAGAACATTCTACGCGTGAATGACCAGTTCAAACTGGCAGATCCGGGAGAGGCAAGCATGTTGCTGAAGCAGTGTGGTCTTTCGACGTTGCCACGTTCCCAAGCCACAAGGGGTACCAGAACTTATGGTAAGGCAACTCAATTAAGGTTATTTGGAAGGTACTGATTCTGTGTTTCTAGCTTCGCCCGAGAAGGCTGCACACCTCAACGGACTCGTAGACTCAGAGTCAGCTATCACACAAAGAAGCGACGTGTGGTCTTTTGGTTGCGTTCTTTCGATTGCGGCGACTTTCGTTGTTCTTGGCGCCCAGGGCTTCCTGATATACAAGGAACTCCGCCTCCTTGCCAAGGATGACATGAACGATGCGTTCCATGATGGCGAGAATGTTCTGGGCCACGTCATTAGCTGGCACAAATACCTCCGCGAAGCCGCTCGGAGGACCGATCCCTTTACATCAGCGGTACTAGACATGGTAGACTTCCATATGTTGGTACCCAGCACGGAAAGATGGGAGGCCACGAGAGTTCATGAAGAGTTTAAAAGAATTCTTGACAATGCTCAGGCTGTGGAGTCTCTTGTAGCAACGGACCTTCTAAGCTTGATCGAGACTATCGACCTGGAGGCTGAGCATCACCAAGACCAAAGCTTTGGCTTCACGCGAGTGGATTCGGACACACTAAGAAGGCCCAGGCCAAATAGTCTACTTTCATCTGATACTACAGGCGAAGGCCGTAAGAAGCTGTCGAAAAAGTCAATCCAGCCTACCGCTCAGCGCTCTCGAAAGACGGACGGTTCTCCTGTACAAACGCCTCGACCGTCGCTCAGGATGCCCGTGATCAACCACCACGTCGAAAGTAGGGAAAGTTTTCCCTACAAAACACCCAATATGGAACGCTTTGACGTGTTTGCTGCCAACGGTCAGAGTTCAGCGTCATATCACAGCACCGGAACAGGAAGACCAACCCCACCAGCCCCCCCACAGAACCTTCTCGGAACTCCAGAAATCCTCGGCATGAAGGTCGCGCAAGTCAAGCAAATGCTCCAGAAGAATGGCATGCTGTACAAGCCAAACCCAAGAAGTCTCAGTTCGCTGCTTGGTAAACAACAAGCGACTGTAAAGGGCATTGTCTCTAACAACGAGCTCCTCGTTCTCTTGGATCAACGTCTGGAAGAATTATTTAAAAACCGAGACATTGTAAGTTCTGCCCGCAAAAGATAGCGCCTATGTGTCTAGACACTGACATGGAAAGGTATTTCTGGTGGACAATGGAGATACAATGGCGTCATGGTGGGTGCAGGCCACCGAGCTCCTAGAAGTTCTGGTATGGAGGGCTCTCGGCTACGATGAAGATGGAATGGAGCTTTACTTCACAAATCCCGACACGAAGCCGGGCGCCATCGTTGACAGCGCCAAAGCCCGATCATTTAGGAAATCCGTCAAGAAATACACGAAGGCAATGGAGCTTGCTGAACCACTAGCGCCAGGATCGACAGCCTGCAAGACGACCATCATACCGCAGCTAGAGCGCATCATCAATGACTATTCGATGGTAAAAGCCTCCAGGAAGATAGAAGAACGTAAAAAGACGATAATTGTCTTAACTGACGGACGCTGGGAGGGAATGCACGACGAATACAGTGCTGATATCTACCTCGAATCTGCGTTCCACGGCCTAAAGGACTTGCATAGCGATGGACCACCCATTGAAGGTAACCACTTCCAAACCGGGCAGGATATTGCTAAGATTCGACCTGTAACAATCGAGTTTGTCCAGTTCGACAATGATCAGAGGGCGACAGAACGGCTGCGACGTCTCGATGACGATCTGAAACTTCACGGCTGCCCGTAAGTAAAACATATTCTCCGGAAAGATGCTGTTTGATTCTGATAAAACTCTACTCTTAGCGATCTCATAGATACAGAACACGCAGAAGGAGACATCTACAAGATGTTTTTGGGCAGCCTTTGCCAGGAGTATGACCAGAAAAAGCGCTACAGCCTGGGTCCATCAATCGCCCCGACAACCCCGACTTCTGGTAGGTCCGAACACTACATCAACCCGACACCAACCCATCAGGGCGCATACACCAATTCTCCAGTTTCCTCGATTCCACGATCGCAGACGATCAACTCTGCATACGCCGATTCTCAAGCCAACTTCCTGTTGTCACCACAATCTCCGACACAAAGACATGGCTCGTCACCGCAATACCCACGAGATTCGGCGTTTACTTCACTTGGGCGCAACTCAACTTGGGACACTTACAATTCCACGTCTTCAGGAGGTGGGGTGCCGGAGGGTCTGGTGTCATCCTCTCAAGCGGGGTCATCATCTCAGACCCAAGGACATTACAGTACTCAACGCACTCATCCGTGGGGAGATCTTTAATGAACTTCAATTTCTTTTGGTGATCTCATGTATTCTCATTCCGGAGTCTGGCTTTAAGTGGAGTTCAGTCTCTGAATTACGGCGATGCGGGCATATAATACTACGGGTTGGGTCGGCGTCGGCGGACTATGTGCATATGGAAATGGATCATTTCATGGCGTGGCAACGAAAGAAACATGGAAGATATAGCTTTTGTGCTTCTGTATCAAGAGTTTGCGATGCATTCCCGGCATCTTCGAATCGTAATGAAAGGACACTCATGCCAAAGCTTATTACTCAATTCATGGGACTACAATAAATCAATAACTCCATTACTGAGCTTGAGGGCTTATCTTCTGCATATCTTCTTCGGCCTGTATTCTCTTCAGTCCGATGCCGGCAACTCCGATGACGCTACCGGCAGCCATGGCAGTGGCAACTAGGAATGTCCTGGTAACGGCATGATTATACACATCCAGAAGAATGTCAAATTGCTCGGGGCGAACGAGATGCGCAAGTTGCGTAGCGCCAGCGCTTTGAACTTCATGGAAGTCTACACCTAGTCCATGAGTAGAAATACCGGAGGCTAGGTTGCTTGAGAAAACAGCCTGTGCAATTGTTATGGCTGTAGTTGGTCCAAAACATTGGAAAAACAGGACGACCGCAACACCAATCGCAACATCTCCCTCAGTCAGAGTACTTTGAACCGCAACAGCGGCTTGCTGAGTTGAGGCTCCAATACCCAAGCCAGCAATGACTTGAAACGAGATCCACTGACCTGCGCCAGATTGAACTCGGAGAGTTGAGAGGAGACCCGCGCCGACCGCGATTAAGACCGTCCCAGCGAGCATGAAGGGCTGGTAATATCCTGTTTTGGTAACGCCCCAACCGCTGAGGAAAATTGTCAAGATGAAAGCCAGACAGAGAGCCAAGTAGCGTACACCCGACTGCTCTGGAGTAACACCTTGAATCGCCTGAAACCATAACGGCACCTAGCGGGTTTGTTAGACTCAGTCACTCCTCAGGAAGATGAAGACAAGTACTTACATAGTAAACTAAAGTGAAGAAAGCGCTGTCGATGCAGAATCCGAAGAAGGCGCCAAAAATGACAACACGCATCTTGATCAAGCGAGGTGGCACCAATGCCTTCTCACCCATCCACCACTGCTCTGCCACGAAAGCAATGATGAGCACTCCGGCGACCACAAAACATGCAATCGTGCGAGCGTCGCTCCATTGGAACAAAGTACCGCCGAATTGAAGTGCGAGGAGAAATGAGGTAATCCCTGGGAGTAAAAGGACCATGCCAAGATAATCTAAACCCCGGATTTTCTGCAGCCAAGGCCGCCGCTGTTCTTGGGTTTGTGGGGGCGACTTGATCAGGAGCAACGTCGCTACAGCGGGAGGAGCCGCAATTGGGAGATTGATGTAGAAGCACCTTCAGAGGGTCAGTAAATCAGTTGAAGAATTTGGATGGAAAACTCTAACTGACCATCTCCAGGTCAAATAGCTGTTTGTGATGAGACCTCCAGCAACCGGTCCAACGACCGCTGCAACGCCGTATACCATGCCAATCGCGCCCAAGTACAGAGGCAACTGCTTCGCTGGTAAAGCTGCGGATATGAGAACCAAGCTGCCGCTTTGCAAGCCAGAAGCTCCAAGACCCGCGATCGCGCGGCCGACGATGAATACAGCTGAGCTAGGACTGACCGCGCAAATCAGAGAGCCAATTTCAAAGATGCCGAGGGAGGCCAAAAAGACAATCTTGATGTTGAACTGATTATACATGCGACCAAACACCAGCTGAAAAGCACACAGAGTCATCTGGTACGCCGATCCATACCACTGGAGATGATGTCAGTAGGGGCTACTCGAGTCCGCTTTCAGAGTTGCATTTACTTACACCAACATCTTTCAGAGAACCAAAATCATCCGTGATTCTTGGGATGGCGGTTGCAATGATCCCCTCGTCGAGAAATGTGCACAATACTCCAAAGGAGATGGCCAGCCAAATCAGAAAGGCCTTCCATCCAGGGAGACCCCCTGTTGCTGCTGTTTTCTCCGAGGCGTTGGGCACTTCTGATTGACTGCCAGAAGTTTTGGACTGAGCATCGGCGCGCTCATGCACCTGCTCTTGACTCTGCAAAGACATTTTGAGTGCGGAGATCGAGCAGTGTCTGGGACCACTACCTAGCGAGAGCAGACAGAGATTGATGAGAAAATTGGACAAGATGAGAGCATCTTCATTCATCACTCTCTGGGGTGGGAACCATAAGAGGGCCATGTCAAGATTCCTGAATGGTTTGCCCGGTCTCGCCCCCACTACACTGCCTGACCGCCACAATTGGGGTGTTCACCCTTGACATGGATCAAAGCCCTGTCACCAACCGTAACAGGAAGGCGAATGAGCACTAAAGACGCTGATGGAGTTGAGACACAACTAACGTTCAGCATCACAATTATGGAGTGTGACCATTTCCTGCCTTATCGCTGACCACCCCTCTCGTGGGTCTGAAGGATCGAACTGCATGCTTTCGCTAGGCACCTATGTAGAAGTTCTTCCTGGAGGGCATCTTCAAGGAACAATCTCGTGCACAATCATTAGTTCCGCCCGGCGGGAAGAAGGCAGGATGCGTCGAAGCCTGGATCCCACGAACCCATGCAAGGCACAGCATGCAGCCGCCTTGCATGCATCGGCTACAAAAGGACCAATGGGTACCAGGATTCTGGGCCCTGTCACGAACCTCACCTGCACCAGTCACCAATGACAAATGTCGTTTTTGCCTTACACAGCCGGCCCATCATTGACTGGAACGGTTAGTAACACACAGCCAAAGTCAGCCTTTCCAAAGAGAGAGACATATTATCCACGCAAGACTCCGACACAGCGAATCGGATAGCCAATTCGAGTTTCCGCAAAACAAGTCGAACATTGTGTGACCACACCGGCAAAAGACAGCCGGGCACAGCGGACGAAGAATCTGTCGAGGACTCAAGTGACTCACGCTATCGAATCACAAGAACATGAGGCTCTATGATGTGATCTGTCTTTTGCCTTCCGGTGGAACTCGAAGTGGGAGGTATCGCAACTGTGGGTATACGACCGCAGTCGAAGGATTCGAGGTGCAAGATGTCTTCACTCAGCTTCCTTTCTAGGTAAGCGACAAGTTTGAGAATAAGGCTAGAAAACAGCGGAGAAGACTAGCTCGGGCCTTCATAGAGAGGCTATGCGAAGTTCAAGCTCTTCGGGTCGCGCGGAAAGGAGCTCCGCTGGTAAGTCTCGAATAATATGGGAGTTTATGGATGAAGGGTGGCTCATCATTTCGAAGGATTTTGCCTGTGCCAGGAGGTTCGAATTCTGGCCCGAATGCTTGATCCTCGATATGGCTAGTGCAACTCGATGGCCCGAATGCTCGCTTTATGTACTCTCCTTAAGGCGTGCGTGATCTTCTGGGCCGGGGACATACCGATATATGATTGAGAGTCGCCAACATCGTCTTGGCGCGACTCCCCAGGGCTGACATCTTGCATGGTAATCTTCATGCACGTCAAACTATTACAACCCAACTTGCATATCAACAGCCAAGATGTTATCTTCCGACGGCAAATGGAAGCTTGCCCCAAGGCTTCATTCCGTAAAGTTTGTTTTTGATGCGCCTATTCCAGCAGACGCCCCGGCTCCTGAGGAGTTCGTCTTCGATAGCCCATTTCCCAGTGGCACTCCGGGAATCCCCAAAAAGTTCACTTTCAAGTCGCCCGGTTCAATGAATGATGGTCAGAGTGAAACCAGCGACACCGATGGCCTTTCCACATCCACCCAACGCAGTGTCACTGAAGTCACTGAGGAAGAGATTGCAACACACTCGAATAAGCCATCCCAGAACGTTACCTGCAACAAGATACAGGATGCCTTTGAGTCGGTCAGGAGTCCCGTGCTTCATGTTCGAGGTCCATGCTTCGACTTGAATGGAGTGGAAAAACCTACCGAGTCGCTCGTTTGTGCTGCCTGGGCTCTGGTGCTTTCGTCGCAAAACGCTACACAAGCCGTTTGTTTTGGACTGAATTCCTCAATCCCAGAGCCCAATCCGAAGTCGATCTCATCTGTGGAAGTGAGCGTTGCCATCAATCACACCTGCAAAATTATCGACTTCCTCAAGCATGTGGAGCAATCGATGAACAGAGACTCCGCCGACTTTGGTGTAGGGTTCACCACAAGTTCTCAGCTGAGAACAATTGTATACCTTGTGAAGAGCCAAGACATCGTAACGCCTTTCGATTCAACGAAGCTTGACTTGGCTCTAGAATGCTATGTGAATGGAACCGAGCTCGCCCTGTCGGCCACTTTCAATCACGAAGTCATTTCTCCGACCTCAGTGAGATTTCTCCTTGACGACTTGGAGAATGTGCTCTGGCAGTTGTCATCCTCGGCAGCGGAGGTGCAGAATTTGGAGGATATTCAGGTGCTAAGTCCGGCCAGCCAACGCCACCTTATCCAGCTGAACCGACCGTGAGTACCGCATTGTGTCACAACAGGAAGCGAGGTCTAACAGCTGTGCAGATTAGCGAGGAGAGAGAACGTTTTTATCGATGATCTCGTGGCTAATCAAGCCAAACTACATTCATCCGCGGAGGCCGTTTGTGCCTGGGATGCTAATCTCTCTTATGGTCAGCTTCAGCAATACGCTGAGAGGATCAGCAATTCCCTGGTGGACTTGGGCGTTACACGTGGAGCTTATGTTCCGATGATATTTGAGAAGTCCGCCTACAGCATCGTCGCCATCCTTGGAGTCCTCAGGGCAGGCGGTGCCGTTGTGGCTTTGGACCCCTCACTGCCCACTGCACGCCTGGAAATGATCATCGAAGACGTCAAAGCTTCAGTAGTGATCTCTTCAGCAAAAAGCCAACATCAGGTTCCTTCGCGTATCTCACGAAACAAAAGGATGGTGATAGACAAATCCTTTATCGAGAAGCTTCCACTCGCTGCTACTAAACGCTCATCTTCTCTGTCGAGGGACGTTGATGACGCTCTCTACGTGGTGTTTACCAGCGGATCAACTGGAAAACCCAAGGGCGTGGTGGTCACTCACACTGCATTCGCGTCGAGTGCCAAGGGATTCTCCAAGGCCATCCATCTCGATTCTCCAAGTTCCCGAGTGTTACAATACTCCTCGTTCTCCTTCGACATATCCATGTTAGAGATCTTCACTTCTCTCATGGCTGGAGCCTGTCTCTGCATTCCTAGCGAGGAACAGCGAATGAACGATTTGACGGCTTGCATTTCCAGTATGAACGTCAACTGGGCTATGCTAACACCATCGGTGGCTAGCCTCATCAGCCCCGGAGATGTTACCAGCCTGGACGTTCTCTGCTTAGTTGGCGAAGCACTGCCACAAGCCGTTGCTGATACTTGGGCAGACCACGTCAAGACTATCAACGCATATGGTCCCGCGGAATGCTCTGCCCTCACCATCGTCAGTGAACCGAGAGTTCGAGGTTTGAAGAGCATTTCTATTGGGCGACCCGCAAATTGCGCTGTCTGGATTGTGAACGAGAACGGACATCTGGCCCCTTTCAATGCTGTCGGTGAGATAGTTATTGAGGGACACCCCGTTGCACGCGGCTACCTGGGTGATGATGTCAAGACGAAGGAAGTCTTTCTCGATGATCCTGAATTCCTCCGAGGAGTTGTTCGACATCCTGGGCGCTGCTACCGAACAGGCGATCTTGGCCGTATGAATCCTGATGGGTCAATCGACTTTCTCGGTCGGAAGGACTCTCAGGTCAAGATAAACGGCCAACGCGTTGATCTCGGAGAGATAGAGCACCAACTCAAGGAGCTCTTTTGTGGTGCGCAGTCGTCATTTGCGATGCCGAATGCGCCGGCCTGGGACGTTGCCGTTGAGCTGCTTCAACCGAGTGGAACACAAACCACAGTACTATCAGCGTTCGTTGCTTGCTCGAAATCAATGATCCAGAACCACGAATCTTTAAGCCTCCTTGTTCATGAGGCAGAGCCTGCGTGGATGGAAGTCAAATCTTTGAGCGCGCAAGCGTTGATTGAGCTCGCGGAGAGGCTTCCGACATATATGGTGCCCAAGACGGTAGTGCCATGCCACAAGTTGCCTCTGTCTCCTTCTGGGAAAATTGATCGCAAGACACTTCGCAATTTGGGCAACACCATGACCCTGCAGCAACTGATGAGTTCACCGAGTCAGGGCAACCCTCCGACCCCGCGAGTTGCCGTAATCGAGCCAGACCCTTTGGAAATCAATGTGATTGAAGACGAAGAAGATTCTTCCGAGGGTCAGATAACTCTGCTATCAGAGAGCATTCCCGCATCTGAGTCTTCGATGCCTTTGTCGTCAACGTCAGACACAGCGTTGAACCCTGTGGAGGTGGTGCTGCGGAAGGCCTGGGGCAAGGTCTTGAGTCTTCCCGAAGATTCGATCACTGCTGAAGACGACTTCTTCAGACTCGGTGGCGACTCAATTGGTGCCATAAAAGTTGTTGCAGCGTGCCGTCAGCTTGCACTTCAAATCAACGTTGCCAGTATTTTCAAGAACTCAGTCCTAAGGCAAATGGCCTTGGTTTGCCAAAGGACTGCGACAGACAAGTCCAACGCAGCATCAAACCAGTACAACGCCTACCAGCTTGTCGATCAGTCTAACCTGGCTGAGATACGCGAAGAAGTCTCTTTCCAGTGCGAGGTTCAGCCTGATGATGTTGAAGACATGTATCCATGCACTCACATGCAAGAAGGTCTGATGGCAGTCAATCTCACACGACCTGGGAGCTACACGGGCCGATGGATTCATCCTTTGCCCCAAGCCATCGACTTGGCGCGGTTCAAGAAGTCGTGGGAGGATATACATGCGACTTCACCTATTTTGCGAACCCGATTTGCCACCACGGCATCTGCAGGATCTCTCCAGGCCATCATAAAGGGGCATGTGCAGTGGCTTACTTCCGACAACCTTGAGAATTATTTGGCAAACGACGACGCAAACCCAATGTTTCCTGGAGATTCACTCAACCGATTCGCTCTAGTCACTGATGTCAACGGCGATGTCACGTTTGTGTGGACTATTCATCACATGCTCTACGATGGCTGGTCTCTAGCCATGCTTTGCAACAGACTGAACGAGACGTATC